TGACGTTTCTCCTTCCTTATTGCCATGTCGCCACCCCCTACTGCTCCCCTCTGTATGCACCCCCCCACCTACCCTCCCCCCCCCCCCCCCGGCAGGTCGGAGCAGGCGCGGCAGCTGGTGGGGGAGGAATGGATACAGCTGCTGTGATGACGTTTCCTCCCTCCTTATTGCATGCCGCCACCCCTTTACCCCCTCCCCTCCCCCTGCCCCCCGGCAGGTCGGAGCAGGCGCGGCAGCTGGTGGGGGAGGAGTGGATCCAGCGGCATCGCAAGATCGTGCAGCAGCACCAAGCCATGTACCAGAAGCTGGCGTGGAGCAAGGTGAGAGGCGGGGAAGTGCATGGGAGGAAAGAGTAGGAGAGCATGGGAGGAAGTGTGCATGGGAGGAAGTGTGCATGGGAGGAAGTGTGCATGGGAGGAAGTGTGCATGGGAGGAAGTGTGCATGGGAGGAAGTGTGCATGAGATGCGATTCACAGGGCAGTGCAGCAGCACCAAGCCATGTACCAGAAGCTGGCTTGGAGCAAGGTGGGTTGGAGGGGGGGGTGAGGCGAGGAGGAGAGAGTATACATGAGTCACATGAGAGATAACGCAGCAGCACCAGGCATGTACCAGAAGCTGGCGTGGAGCAAGGTGGGTTGGAGGCGGGTTGGGGGGGGGAAGGGCATGGGAGACGAGAGAGTGTGCATGTAGCGCCACCCTATGTACGAGAAACTGTTGTGGAGCAAGGTGAGGGGCGAGGCGGGTGTGGGGGGGAAGGGCATGGGAGAGGAGAGAGTGTGCATGGGTCATTGTGCAGTGCAGCATCAGCGTGTGATGAGACGATTTTTTAGTCGACTCAAAAATCGTCTCATCACACGGGTGTGTGGGAGAAGGGCATGGGAGACGAGAGAGAGAGAGAGAGTGTGCATGGATCCTAGTGCAGAGCAGCATCAGGGGACACTGGTTTCACCACAGATCATCGTGGGATATGGACCAGAAGGCCCCTCCCAGCCTGCGCCACTCCTTCCTGCCCCTCCTTGGTTGTGTCGCCCTGGGCATGCTAAGCGCGCAGTGAGATACCCAGCCCACTCCATCCATCCCAGCCCAGCATGCGCCATCCCAGCATGCGCCATCCCAGCATGCGCCATCCCAGCATGCGCCATCCCAGCATGCGCCATCCCAGCCTGCGCCATCCATCCCATCCCAGCACACCCCATCTCCCCCCCCCTCCTAGTGTCTCCCCTTCCCCACCCTGTGCCACCGACCAGGTGCTGGGCGTGCTGAGCCCGCACTGAGCCATGCTCAATATAGGCCCTAAACCTTAAACCTTAAACCCTTCTGTTCTCCCCCCCACGCACTGTGCTCCCCACCAGGTGCTGACCGTGCTGAGTCCGCAGGGGGAGGTGATAAACAAGAACACACTCAAGGAGAGGTGAGCGGGTCATCAGTGGGGTCAGTCAGTGGGGTCAGTGGGGTGCTGTACCTGCTGTTTGGGTGTGGCCTGCCTGGGTTGAGTGCGCTGCTGTACCTGCTTTGTGCTTCGTGCTGGGCGTGCTGAGTCCACAGGGGGGGGTGATAAACAAGAACACACTCAAGGAGAGGTGAGAGGGGTGCTGTTGCTGCTCGCTGACCTGCCAGGGCTGAGTGAAGGGGGGAGGAGTGATTGGGCTGCTGCTGTTTTTGCTCTGTGAGAAAGGGAGAAGGGGAGGTGTTTCTTGGTTAAGGGGAGAGTGGCATGGTGCGTTGGGGCAACATAACTGCCCGTGTGACGATGCTATGCCACACCTGTACTCGTCCGCTGTGCTGAACCCCGCCATTCACACACACACACCCCTCCTTGCTCCCAGGACTGCTCTCACGTGTGTGATGCCGAAACGCGCGTACGCTCAGATTTGGAATGATAATGGCTTGTTTACGTGATCCCTACCTAGCCTAAGCATAGAATAGCGAAGACTAGAACGAGTTATGTTGGCCGGATCTGGGTCGAATCTACTTTTTTATGTGACACACGCACTCTTTTTCGCTCCCGGGTCTGCTCTCACGTGTGTGATGCCTTGGCGTGGCAGGCTGAAGGTTTTCAACGCTGCTTTTGAGGAGCAATACAACAAGCAGGTGCGTGGGTGTAAGAAAGTCTATGCGTCGCTTGGGTCCCTGTGAGACTGCGGTAACATTGTCGCCGCATCTATGCGCAGCAGACATTCAAAGCAACCTCACGTGTGTGTGCTAAGCAGTCTAAGAAGCAACGTGCACCTCGCCATTGTGCTGCACGTGCTGCTTCTCTTCTCTGCACCACCAATTTTAACCTGATACGCCTTCTTCAGGCCACATGGAGAGGGGAACGCAAGACATATGAGCTGCACCTCGCCATTCTGCCACACGTGCTGCTTCTCTTCTCTGCACCACCAGAAAAGGTTGCCCATAGGAGGAGGGAGTTGCAAATCATATGTCTTGTCTTGCCTTCCCCTCTCCTCTTCCTCTCCCTCTCCTCTCCTCGCCCCCACCAGCTCACATGGACTATACCAGACGCGGAGCTACAGAAGGTGGTGTTGCCAGGCTGTCATCGACCAGGTGCTGTGATGCACTAACACCCCCCCCTCAATCCAACCCCCATTCCCATCCTCCCCCACCTCCCGTTGCTGCCCCCTCTTTCTCAGCTCACGTGGACCATCCCGGACGCGGAGCTACAGAAGGTGGTGCGCCAGGCTGTCATCGGCTAGGTGCTGTAACACACTTTTTCCTTCCCTGTCCCTAACCCCCTCCCCCTTTTCTGTCACCAGCTCACGTGGACCATACCAGACGCGGAGCTACAGAAGGTGGTGCGCCAGGCTGTCATCGACCAGGTGCTGCCGGCCTACCGCGACATGCTCAAGCGCTACGGGTGAGCGGTCTCAGGGGTCCTGTGCGGTGCTGAGGGGTGCTCGGGGTAATGAGGGGTTCTGATGGGACTCTTATGCTTCTAGAAGGGGGTATGGCAGTCATCCACCAGGTGCTGCCTGCCTAGCGCGACATGCTCAAGCGCTACGGGTGAGTGAGCAGTGCTCAGGGGTGTGGGGGGGTGCTGGTTGGTGCCGAGGGTTGCTGTACGGTGCTGAGTGGTGCTGTGTGGTGCTTATAGGACTGTTATGCCATTAAAAAGGGGTAATGGCAGTCATCCACCAGGTGCTGCCGGCCTACCGTGACATGCTCAAGCGCTACGGGTGAGTGGTGCTCTGCGATGCCCAGGTGGGTGATGGGTGGTGTGGTGATGGGTGCTGTACCTCTACCTCACTCCCCTCCCCGCCCCTCTCGTCCCCCCAATCCCCCCCCCCTCCCCTCCCTTTACCCCCCCTCCTTTCCCCCCCTTCCTCTAACCCAAGCCCGGTGGTGGACGCATTGAAGAATCTCTCAAAGCACGTCAAGTATCAGCCGGAGGACATCGAGACGCGTTCTGAGTCGACTTGAAACCTTCCCCCTCTTGCCCCAACCCCTCTCCTCTCCCCCCTCTTTCCCCCCCTCCCTCTCCCCTCAGCCCTGTGGTGGACGCATTGAAGAATCTCTCAAAGCACGTCAAGTACCAGCCGGAGGACATCGAGCGTCTAATTCGGCAGCTCTTTGAGGGCCGCCAGGTCGTAGGCGAGGCCAGCAAGGGCAAGGCGTCGCTGCTCAAGTAGACACATTGGGTTGGGACATATTTGTGTCTGGTATTTGTTGGAAGTTATTGAGGGTGTGTGTGTAAAGGCTTTAGGAATACGTTGATTTTGGTATGAAATGTTCATATGATGGTTGAAGTAGATCTCCATTTTGTTTTCAGAGTGTTGGTACCGTCTTCATCTTATTTCAAACCAAAAGGCAAGGTTTTGCGCAGAAACGGGTGACACTATGTAAGGTATCTCACTTTTTGTCCTCTGATCTGGCATGAGGCTTTTCATTCGCCAAAAGAAAATCCCAGTGCCACCGTGGTGATGGCCATTGGTGATCAAATCCCTTCCCATCCTCGGGCAGCCATTTGCAGCCGACCTGATTGAATGGCTCACCGAAGCTACAGTCTCGCCGCCAGTAGGGCGGTGCGGTGTGCCCTCACCCTGCTCGCGACTCGATCCCTAGGCTGGTCTGGCTTTGCAGCCTCTGGGATCTGGAAGGTTCCGAACCTGTAACCTCTCGCGTTTCACCTGACCCAAACCACATGTCAGCGCGGGAAAACCTCGTTGATTGGCCGGTGAGGGTGCCGCACACGGCGCTGGTTTGTAGGCCTCCTGGCGTAGAACTTACATTCAGGGCGACCGTAGAGCTGCTCCCCTGTGAGGTATGGCTTTTGGGGGTGTCAATGCTTGAAATCCCTATGGACCAAAGTATAACATTTCTAAAGCGTACTGGAACCCCTAGCACCGTCCTCCATACCTCTGGTAACTTCAGAAAACAATTCCACTCACATCACAATCGGGCAAATGCAAATCGAATGCTGCTCCATCCACCAACCGTTGCACCTCGTTCGGAACGCTTTCCGCCTCAATTGCGCCCCGCGCCTAAGATCCCAAACTCACCCCTCCCCCCATTCTCCAACCTCCCGCCCTCCCACCCCATCCCCGCAACTCTCCTCACAACCCCGCCTCCAGCAATTTCGGCTGTGTGAATTTCGGCTGGGTGTTGTGCTGCTGTGTGGATGATGAGCATCAGTGGCAATGGCAGCAGCACCCACTTTCCCGAAAAGGCGTCTTTGTCGTTCCCAAATCCTAACAAGCGACGCTTCGGCACCCTCCCGCGCCACTTTTTAAGATGAGAGTCTGCTTATCAAGCGCCTGTCCGAACACTCTTGCTTCGAGCAAGTTGTTTCGAGCAAGTTGCGACCTTGCTGGGCCTTGCTGTTCCGGGACTCAATCGGCGCAGATTGACGACCAGGTTGAGCGAGAATCGCCCATGCTTCGAGCTTCAGAGTCTTCGGAACGAAGGGGGCGCTTTCTCAAAAAACACAACAGGCTTCACTTAGCTGCTTTGTTATCGAGTTACCATATTTCATCATACTAAGGTCTCGGCGACGAGTCGTCATGACGTCAGCGACGGGAAGACGGTCATCGAAGGTCGTCGTTGGTGCTGCCTTCCTGCTGCTTCTCCTCGCCAGCTCCTTCTTCCCCCTCGCGGTCGCGGTGAGCCGAAAGGACGTGCGGCTCGCGCTGCAGGAGATTCGGCGAAACCCGCGCCTCCAGCGTTTGAACTTCAAAAAGTTCTTTCAAAAGTTCGGTAAGTATTAGCGTTTCGCTTAAGTCAACCCACGGCGAACTCGCCTTTTTATTAGACTCTCAGAAGGGTTGCTTCATGCGCATCCGCGGTGGCGCCGTACTATGAGAAGCAGACTTCAGGATTCGTCGTGGCAAGGTGTGACGTGGCGCCGCCAAAGAAGGAGAAAGCACCCCGCGAATGTCGCTGTCACACCGCCAGGGCGCTAGCTCCCGTCTAGTACGTGCTAGTGTACCGCCACGCGTCCATGTACCGCCACGTGTACCGCTTAGGGCGGGCGGGTTACCGTGTAGCGTTACGTGTACCGTGTACCGTCACGCGTACCGCGTAAGGGCGTGCGTGCGGGTGTACCGTGTAGCGTCACGTGGACGTGACAGTCACATACTGAACGCTGTGCTGGTAGTGCCGCATCCGCCCAGTCGCTCCGAACAGCAAAGTTCCTCGCGAGGTCGTTCGCGCGGTCGCTCTGCAGCAGCGAAGCACAAGAAGAATCCGCGTCGCTTCAATCCACCGACAACTTGCGCCGCCGCCTCCCAGCCCCCAACGCCCCGCTCCCCTAATCTCCCTTTCGCATTCCGCTCGTTTCCCGTTTAAGTTCCCCCCATCCTCCCTTCGCTCGTGTTCCCCTCGTTTCCCGTTTCATGTTTCCCCCATCCTCCCCTCGTGTTTCCCTCCATTTCCTCGCGTTTCCCCCTCGTTCTCCCCTCATGCCTGTCGCGTCCCTCTTGTGTCCTATCCGTCTTCCCCCAATGATCGCTTCATGTTCCCCTGATCTTCCCCCAAATCCCCCCCATCTTCCCCTCGTGTTTCTCTGCCACGCTGACCCATTCCCTTGGCACAACTGCCCTCTCTCTCTCAAGCACATAATTTGACAAGTGCCACATGGCCTCTACAGCCCTGCCTCCACTCATCCCTCGCCCGACCCATGCATCTCTGCGCAACACAATTCGTCGTCTCCCCGTCCCACCCGCATTTGCCCCCTCGTGCAGTGCTGCTGGCCATCAACCAGAAGGGCCCGGCCCCATCACGCTCTTCCTCCCCACCGACCCCTACACCATGTACACGGCCTACTCTGCTGGCTACACCCCTCAAGACTTCGCCACTCTTATTCAAAACGCCATGACACCCATCTGATCTTCTCCCTCTCCCGCTCTCGTCCCCCCCTTGGCAGTGCTTCTAGCCATCAACCAGAAGGGCCCCATCACCCTCTTCCTCCCCACCGACCCCTACACAACACGTCCTACTCAAATATTTACACCCTTCTAGACTTTGCGACTCTTGGCTAAAACAACATGATCCCTCTGTCTCTTTCCTTCCCCCGCCACCCTCTCCCTCTTGCAGTGCTGCTGGCCATCAACCAGAAGGGCCCCATCACGCTTTTCCTCCCCACCGACCCCTACACCATGTACACAGCCTACTCTGCGGGCTACACCGCCCAGGACTTTGCCATGCTCGGCAAAAACAACATGATCCCTGAGCACCATCCCTACAAGGACTTTGTGCATGACTCTGCAGGTACGACATACACCACAGTGCTGGGCGAGAAGGTGAAGAAGTGGAATGGAAAACGCACCAAGCTGGTGGCTTTCAAGGCGGCTAAGGGCCTGCCCAGCCTTGTTATATGGCCCAACATGTTCCAAGGGGATACGCTTGTCATTCACCTCGTGTCCCTGGCTTTGATTCCCTCATCCATGTGATACGACGTAAAACAAATTTGTCTGTCTATGTATTTTATTGTAGCTGTGTGTAGCATGAATGTCATACTAAAATGTGAGATGAGGAATGGCCAAGACCAGGTTGTTGCCCACGGGGCTTACACATGGGAAGGAAGGACATTCCATAAAAACATCCTACAGGCGCAAACTGCTCTCTAGTGGCAGCCCCAACTTCCAGTCTGGTTAGAGGGCTCTGTTATCAGTGTAATTTACACTGCTACACTGATTAGAAGGGTGAATTTTAGGGCCTGCACTGATGGGTTTGGGTATTTTTTTGGGGGATTAGTGTTACACTGTGCTGATATAACCAAAGGATCAAGTAGATAGGATAAGATCTGCTAAAGCTGCGGTCTACATACCAAAGGGTATTTTCTGGGGGTATTTCGGGTGCACACCCTAAGACGCAGTCTGATTTGCACACGAAATGATCCCGCCCCAGAAATGAGAGCGCGAAGGATTCAAACACAACTGGCGAATCCCGCCAGTTTCGTGCAAGGTTTGGTTGGGGGGGTACTTTTTCGTGAGGTTGGGGTTGTGGTGGCGATTTCGCCACAACCTGCAACCAATCGAGGTTGGGGGGTAGATTGGCGCGAAATTTGTAAGCCAATCCTGAGAAGGCCAACTTTCAGAGGGGGGGTTGGGTTGTCAGAAAGCAGTAACTGCACCTCGCCACCCAAGGATGGAGCGAAGCCCTGTGCTACCTAATTTTCAAGTGATAAACCAGGTCCTCCCGCAGGAGGTATGTAGGCGACAGCTTTAAGTCTGAGAGGAGACAATGGAGTCTCTGTAGTGACCTTGTTGGTAAATTGAAAGAGAACAAGATGATTATAAGATAGGAATACAAGAGATTAAATAGCAAACTAGCTAGCCATGTACTCTGAGGGGTACATTCCCTGACTGTATTACATAGCTACAGTAACCACGACTATTGCCATGCTCGACAATTACCATGTTGCAGCGATCAACTGTCGTGCGGTTACTGGATGGTCAAGGATCACGACCGTTGACTTCCTTCGACGGTTGACCTTCGGGTGACCCTCGACCTTCCGCATGCTCTATATGAGCTATTGCGGTACTTGGTACAGTGGAATACCTTCGGGAATGCTTATATAACCTTTCGGTTATTCCAACACTCCCCTTCATTCGTGAAGGTGGGCCACGTAGGATTTCTTGGCGATCCCGCAAAGGTTGGCGCAACGCTGGTACTGCTGTCGTGACAGTTTCTTCATCAGGAAGTCAGCTGCCATGTCACCGGTCGGACAGTATGTGAGTTTGACTCTCCCCTTGTCGATTTCGTCCTTCACGAAGAAGTAGCGAAGGGCGATGTGCTTCGTGCGGTTGACGAAGCCGGGCTTGTTCGCGATCTTTATCGCGCTCTGATTGTCGCAGAGTAACGTGAAGTGCCCGTTCATCGTTACTTTCGCTTCTTGTAGGAGTTCCATCAGGTACAGTCCTTCGCGAACAGCTGCGCTGGCTGCGATGAATTCTGCTTTTGCTGACGAAAGAGCGATGAGTTCTTGCTTCTGAGAGTTCCAGGAGATGAGTCCGGCAGGTTGGAGTTGGAAAATGAATCCTGTGCGGGAGCGTCTGTTGTCAACATCTCCTGCGTGGTCAGCGTCTACATAGCCATGGAGCTGCAGGGTGGCGGTGAGGTTAGCTTCGTAGGTGAGACCGACGTCGGGAGTGGAGATGAAGTATTGCAGTGCTCGGCGTAGATCCAGTAGATTCTCCCCTTCAGGTCGCTTTAGGTACTATGCGAGCTGGCTTGCGACGTAGGAGAGATCAGGCCTGCACGTGACGGCGGCGAACAGGAGACATCCCAGCTGCTGCTGATAGAGACGATGATCGTCGGGAGAGAGTGGCGCGGTGTCTGACTCGTGGTTAGGAGGAGGAGTGCGATAAGGTGTGGTGAGGTTGATTAGTGCGATGGCGAACCGCTTCGCGAGTGTTTTCTAAGAGACTAGGCAGGAGTGAGTTTGACTATGTAGAGGTTTTGGTACAAGAAAGAAACCTAAGGGGTTGTACCCCACAATATCTACCCCACTACAGCCTACCTAGAAATATAACATATGTATATGTTTGACACACCCCCATAGGCAAAGTGGGGGAGAGCAAGAGGTCACAAGACCAGTCAAGGAAAGCAAAACAAGCTCAGGGTGGATCACAACGTCACCACACACACTGAGCACAAGCAAACGGCCACAAGGTCAGTTCACATGCAGAGGTATACACGCAACACTAATAGTACAGTGATCTCTACCTAGCAAGAGCAAGCATGCAGGTATATATAAATATACATATGTATATATATATCACAGTACAAGCAGAGACTACAGTAAGTGTGGAAACGTAGGCACAAGGCCCAACAAAGTACAAAAGCGCTGATGGTCACCAGACGGAAGTGCCTTGGTGAATATATCAGCAGTGTTGGCCCGAGTGGCCACGTGAGCAAGGCGAAGCTGACCCCGCTGCTGCAACTCTCAAGCCAGGAAGTAACGCAGAGCGATGTGCTTCGTTCTGTGCTCCAGTCTGTGCTCCTGACACAAGGCAATGGCGGCCTTGTTGTCTACGTACAGAACTGGAGGAGAACGAGGCCGCTCTCCCAGGTCGGTCAGCAGGTAGGTGAGCCAGCGTAACTCGTGTGCAGCCATGGTTGTGGCGTAGATCTTAGCCTCACAACTGGAGCTGAGGACAATTGGACCCCGCCCTCCAAGCACGAGCCCCATGCCCAATGTACTGCACAAGTAGTGCAGTACCCTCTTAGCAGCATCCATGTGCACCTTTCGGTGCCGACCAGGAGCCACGTAGCGTGCCAAAAGGCCAAGAGGGTACGCAAGGTCAGGATGAGTGCAGGTCATCAAGTACATGAGGCAGCCCACTAGCTCTGGGTAAGGACCACTCGGCTCTACGGACTCGTCCGAAGGTGGAGCTGAGAGCGAGTGACCTGTAGCCAGAGGAGTGGCCTGTGCCGAGGACCAGGAGAAGCTGAAGCGCAAAAGGACCTGCTGCACCATGTGTGACTAAGTCAGGGTGATGGTGCGGCGTGCTCTGTCCCGGGTGATCTGCAAGCCAAGGTAACTGCGCAGCTCACCCAGGTCTGTGCACGTGTGTCTCTTCTGCAGCTCCAACTTCACCAGGGCAAGAGACTCAGTGTCAGCAGTGGCAAAGACCAAGTCGTCGACGTACACGAGGATGTAGAACGGCGGCAGCGAAGTGTCGGTGCGCAGAAACAGCGAAAGGTCAGGAGTCGACGGAGTAAACCCAAGAGCCGCAAGTGTCGTCCTCAGTGTGTCGTGCCACTCACGTGGCGCCTGGCGGAGACCGTAGACCGGCCGCCGGAGGCTCCACTGGGTACCAGGAGGGAACGACCCAGTGAAGCCAGGCAGGTGGCGTAGCCAGATCTCCTCGTGCAGGCTGCCCTGTAAGAAAGCTGTGTTGAAGTCAAGAGAGTGAAGCTCGTAGTCACGCTGAGCGGCAACGTGCAGCAGCACCCGAAGAGTGGTCATCTTCGGGGTGGGGGAGAAGGTCTGGAAGAAGTCTACTCCCTCTCGCTGACTGAAGCCTCGAGCAATGTAACGAGCCTTGAAGACAGGCGGAGAACCTGGCGGCCGCTTCACCCTGAAAATCCACATGTCGTCGACGATGTTCGCCCCGGGAGGGGGAACCTCATCGACGTACGTGCCTGTAGACTTCCAGGATACCATCTCTACATCCATGGCTGTCTGCCACTGAGAAGAGTACTCACCTGCGATCGCCTTAGCGTAAGAGCGCGGGGTCAGGATGTCTGGTGCATCCGGGTCTCCCTCAGGGGCAAGCAGCATGGCCACGAGATGAGGCGCAGCGGCCGCAAGACACTCAAGGTCCTCGTGCCTGTCCTCAAGGACGTCCGTGCTAAGAGCACACTCACCCTCGACGGACGGAGGACAGACAGACTCAGACTCAGCAACAAGACTAGCAGCGTAGTCTAGACGACAGGCAGCAGCAAAGTCGACAAGCTCAGCGACTAGGGCAGACGCAGCAGTGGATTCAAACGACGGGTCAGTGGCTCACAGACGCGTGACAGTAGGGTGCTCAGTACAAAACTGGTCAGACTCAGGGTCCGCAACGTCAGGCAGAGAGGACGCAGGGGGAGACGGCAGAGGAACACGCGGCGGAGGAGAGGAAGGACGACGGACTACAAGGTGGGTGCCGGGGAGAGCCGGCTGACGCGGACGAGGAACACGACGACCGGAACGACCAGAACGGACAGGCGAGACAGGAAGCGACGCAGGCTCACGACGCTCAGCAAGCCGCCCTGTTTGCTCAGTGTACAGAGAAGGAGCAAGCAGCGGTGAGCCAGGCTGTAACGGAAGACCAGTAGACGAAGGGAGACTGAGAACCTGGCGAAGCGCAGAGTCAGGCGGTGGCTGAGACGATGGAGACGGCGGAGCGAAGAACAGGCGCGGCTGTGCAGTGCCACCAGCACCAGCACCTCCAGCACCTCCAGCAGCTCCAGTACCCTCAGTGCCAGCTCCTCCAGGACCAGCTCCACCAGCTGCAGCACCCCCAGAACCGGCACCTCCAGTCCCAGGGTCTCCAGCCTCAGTGCCTCCAGCAGCAGCACCCCCAGACCCAGGGTCTCCAGCAGTAGCACCCTCAGACACAGCACCTCTAGCCCCAACAGCTCCAGTACCTCCAGTACGAGCACCTCCGGGACCAGCAACTCCAGCACCTCCAGTAGACAAAGGACCACCACCACTCCCAGCTCCAGTGACGTCAGCAGAAGTACCTCCAGCAGCAGAGCCCCGAGCTCCATAAGCGCGACCCTGACGGCGACCGTACCAGTTGTGCAGCTGCTGTGATGTGAGAGTCACACGCGGACAAAGGCGGCTACTCCAAGGAGACCGCGTAACAGCAGTCTCAGAACCCTCAGGCGTTGCACCCCTAGACTCATCACCCCCAGGCTCCTCACACGCAGGTTCAGCACCCCTAGACGCAGCACC